ATAAACTCAGTATGTCTGAAATAAATAATTCGCATAGTGGAGGCTGTTTTTGGCATTCTGGACTCAGCTGGACGGACTAGGCGAGCAACTGACCAACAGGACACTAATTAGACCGGTCGGACGTCATTGGTTTAGTACAGTATAAGAGCGAATAAGTCATATTTTGATTGGCGAATAGATTACATGATAACTAGCGGGTCATAAAGTCACAACAATAATAACCTGAATAGCTCAATAATAACATTTTGTTAATTATGCCACTGAGTACGTAGGTTCAAGTTCTACACAGAGTATCAATTTCTTCAGCACTATACAGATATAGTGTTGATAAATGTCAGTTAACGAGATCTTTGTAGTGATTACTTACAATTAGTTCGAGTTGAATATTCACCTTTGCTACCGTAAGTTAATTCACTTTAGTTTCTACAATAAATCAGAATAATTATTGGAAATAAACATTTCTACGCTGTATCAGTTACAATATACTTATTATGGGAAAACCTGATATTATATAGTGATCAATTTTGTTTCGTGTTTACAGCGAAAATATTCATTTGAATTCTAAAAACAAAATTGGAGATTGGTTGTTTTTATAATAATAATATTTTATTTATTTATTTGAACACATAAATATTGGTACAAGAGGGCACCAACTATATAGGCGCCACACAAAACAATGAGAATTCCAAGAGAAGAAAAGAAGGTAAGGAGTGTAAGAAAAATAGAACAATGACGAACAGATTAGTGTAAGGTAGTGTAATAATAATAGTAATAATGAGGGAAACGGAAAGGTACAATCAGAAGAAATCTTTCAGGTAAAGGAGACGCAATCACTTTTTATGAAGAAAGTAAACGAAGGTTACAGCAGGATCGCCACTGTTTTCCATTGTGAACCATATCTGATAATGTCTATAGCCACTGTGTAGCACCATCTCTAAGACCCCAACCAAGAAGAAGTGAAGGACCGACAGAAGTCAGTCCTGTACATATTTCTTTCATACAACGACACCATGTCAAACACTGACAACACCTCCGTTTTTTCCGACTTATCCCAGCGTCGCCAAATAATGCATGACGTGGAATTCTCTGTGAAGACATTCGTAGAACATGTCCAAGACACCGAAGTCGGTGTTTCAAGATGGTGACACCAATTGCATGATTGTCTCTGTGCCCAAACACACAATACAGAACCTCTGCATTACTAACATGGAGTTGCCACTAGATGTCAGTAATCGTTCGGAGACAACGATGATCAAACACAGGGGGTCGTCTAACATCCTCAACTCGATGAGGTCAGGTTTCACAAGCATAGAGCAAAACCGCTCTCACCGACGCGTTGTAGATCCGACCTTTTACAGCCAGACTAACATCACGAAGGCGCCAAAGATGGCTCAGATTGGCATAAGTTTTATTTATTTATTTTTATTTGAACACATAAATATTAGTTCAAGAGGGCACCAAATATGTATGCGCTACACGTTTTCATTATCATTATATTTGTGTGTGGGCTGTGATACTGCCCGGGTGCTCAGACCAAAGCAGGTGGTTTTCTTAGGCCACACTCCGAGCTTTTGACCTAAAAGTCTAACCCACAAGGCAGTGGAGCAACGTCAGGAGATGCAGTCCCATGGTAGCCGGTGACCAACGATTGGTTCATACGCCATTTGTTCCCTGAGGATACCGGGGCCCATGTGCACCAGTGGTTTGGAATCCGGTTAAAGTGCCGGACATCCACTTTTCGTCCTCTCATTTTCGTAAACACCCCCGCCACGAGAAGTCAGTGAGTAAGACTCCCCTGTCAGTGGTTGTATGCACGTGGCCATGTGAGAGCATTTCAAGAGGGAAGATGGGTCCACCCCACTCTCGGCTATATCAGGGCATTTGGGGGCATAATAATAATAACAGCAATAATAATCCAATACCTGTGCATTAAGAGTCTGATTAGAGGCCTACTTGAATATCTGAGCTACCTATTCCTGTCATCTAGATGTTTCAACAAGTTATTTGTTTTCTTTTTTTTGTTTTAACACATAATTATCACTATCAGTCTTATAACCTATTTAGGTACGTTTATGAAAAGTTTACAATGATATTTAACAATATCTGTAATCGTTTCAATTGTTTTCATAAATAATGATATGAAAACATGTAGACCGAGTTTCTGGGTTAGGTATAGTTTGAATTCAATGGTCTATTCAAAATTCTCAATCATTGATTTTCAAACTGTATACTAAATTATAAGAAAAGATGGATAGTGGCTAGCAGTGGAATCCAGGACGCGCGTTTCGTCCTGTTTGGGACTCGTGGATAACGCGATGGCGTTTGAAGCGAACGGTACTGAGTTCGAGTCCCAGAGTGAACATCAACTCTGAGATGCAGGTACTTCCAGCTGACGAGTCCCAAACAGGACGAAACGCGCGTCCTGGATTCCACTGCTAGCCACTAACCATCTTTGCTTATAATGTTTGTAAATCAAGGCAATATCGAGGCATACGCACAGTATGCACATATGCCAATAAGAGACTGATCAATTTCAGTCCTAAAACATCAATGGGAAGATTCAAGTAAAACAATACCAAGTGAATGTATACTAAATGCTTGTGAAATGATGATTGTTACCATCATCAAGCATATAACCTGAGGCAGTTCTTGTTCTTCTTCTTATTATTACGTATTCATATTCAATTCTTTATACTACAATCAAATGACATTTATTAAAGTGTAAGTTTATGAGTTGGTTGAAAAAAATATATATATTTAATCACCTTATAAAACTTTGATTTAACGCATTAAAATAGTTTATACTGATTCTATCCATACAATTTAAGGTGGCCTGTTTGAATATCTGAACTACCTGTTCCTGTCATCTAGATATTTTAATAAGTTATCTGTTTTATTGATTGTTTGTTTCCTGTCGATTACCTCCAACCACCATCTAATCTTTCAATAGTGCACACAGTGTCGAGTCACCTAGGCTGGTGGCCACATTGCAAAATAGTCGATAGCATTCAATCTGCACTAATAACGACTTGACACACATAACAATGATCAACACCCAGTGACCAATCAATTGTGGTTACATCTCAGTCCTACAGGAGGTCGGTCGCGGCTCGGATAGCTCAGTGGTAATGTCTCTGACTGTGAAGATGGGTGACACGGGGTCGAATCCGTCAGGGAGCACCAGTTTCCTCAAGATTACAGGTACACCTTGCTGACGAGTGCCAAGTAGCACGAAACCTGGGTCCAGGGTTTCCTGTCGACTACCTCCAACCACCATCTCATCATTATGTCTATTCATAGCATAACCTAATCAGGTGCGCTTATGAAAAGTTTACACCATCTCGTTGTACAAGTTACAAAAAACCCCAATCAGAGACATCATAGTTGCTGGTGATATGCATCGAAAAGAATATACATTATTCAAATGTCGACTCCCGAACTACCGACATCTAACTGACAATCACTCAAATACTGATCGTCAGGATCAATTAGGAAGTAAGAAATGGAGACTTGTTGAAATACGTTGTGTTGAGAATTCTAATACTGTACCAAAAATATAACATTGAGTTAAGGCAATAATTATAATAATAATAATACATTATTTTTTTTGGAGTTTCAAACTATGACTAAACTGGAGAAAGAAAAACACTAATACCCCCCCCCACGAAAAAAAGAGAAGTAATCGAAAAGTATGTTACTGTACAAACAGAACATTAAACTGTTGAGTGATTAAAGCAAATGAAATATGGATTAAACAAAAACAAACACAAAACAAGAAAAAAACGAGAATAAATGAAGACATTCTCTGACGTAGAATAACATAAAATGCCAACTGAACATAACAACTACATACACGAACACGCACACACACACACACATAACACCTATACATACATGTATCATTTATTATATAATCATTATTGTTTATAACTGATCTTTCAATAATTAAATCAGATATTTAATGGTTATGCAAAATGTTTTATGAAATTCAATAGTTTAATTACAATGAAACCTTTATATCATTAAATGAATTAATTAAATAAAAGTAAACAATAACACACAAACAAAAAATACTGGCAAGATTATATATGATGGACAAATCAATCATGGTATAAGATAACAGATCTTGGATTTTCGGCGTGACATTCACACAACCATTTGGCTAAATAGAATGTTAACATCATAACTGATATTGTGGTATGTGCTACTTATATTGATATAAGTAGTATATGACGCGAGTTCAAGAACGTAATGTCTGGACAGCAGAAAATGAGGAAAGATCAACAAAAGAAGAGAGGGAACGCAATGCAATTTGTATGAAAACGTATGAACCATGAAATGTGAGACAATGGATTGATGATGATTGCAATAGCAACAGTCCAGTTTGATATGATGGAATGATATTTTGCAAATTAACGATGTAGTATTTAGTTTTTCTATTTTTAACCAAGTAACTCTGTAATTTGTATACTAAATTCATTCGATTGTCTTCACCCGTGTTCTATTCAATACAATATCACTTTTTGTGATAAAACCCCCAAAATCTAATTCATAACCTTTAACTATCAACTATCAATTATATTTGTCATTCTTTAACCATGATTTATAATCTTCAAATGAGTAAGATGAACTACATTTATAGTCACTTTAGCGTGACTTAAAGGTTATTCCATAAATGAGAGTCTCATACAAAATATATACTACATTAAGTTGTTTTCATGAAATTGGATTCATTCGATAAGATTAAAAAAGACAAACAACAACAACAGTACATTGGGTAGGTAAACAATAAGGCATTGAACATGGAAACAGAATACAACAATAAACAAAGAAAGAAAAAACGGCAATAAATAAATAAAAGACAAACAGTGATAAACACTTACTACACATTATTCAATATTGGACATTTATAAATAATTTGTTTGTTTATATTTACAAAAATAGACAAATCAATCATCTTCCAGAGAGAGAGAGAGAGATCTTTTGATTGATCATAAAAATTAATATTCAGCTGGAACAGTTTTCATTGCTTCAAATGAAGAATGTGGTGTTTTAGTGTTCTTTTAAAAAAATTTAAAAAAATAAAATAAAATAAGTAGTATATCATTCAGTGTATCATAAATGAACTAATGTAATAGATACACAAGGATAAAAACATATCCTGAAGCTAAATTGATTAGCCTATCTAAAACAACATGTTCTTTGACACAATCAAAGATCGACAGATATCCCTTTCATGTTACCACCAACTGTGTGTATACAAATTTTACATGTATCTGCCAAAGCAGTTACATTGGTAGAACAGAAAGGAGAGATTACATTCGATTCAAAGAACATATTTTGAAGTGTTTGAGATCAAATGGACTAAAAGCATTTAGCAGCGCTATTACAAGACATCTCCTTGACACAGGACATGAAGTCGATATATTGAAATCGTTCAAGGTGATCAATAAACAATCAAATTCAAACCTTTTGAAATTTGCCGAAGCGATAGCAATCAAACGTTTAAAACTAGACCTTTGTATAGAAAAAAGAAACAGTAATAAATCTTTTTTTGCCCTGGTAACATTACCCCCCCCCATTTTTTTATTTATTGCGTCATTCCAACTCTTTCTGAATTTTATAATTACATCATTAATCTATTTTCAGTGATTTCATTACATAATCGTCTAATGTGTTTTAATTCCATGATTTCTAATCACTATTTCAATGTTCTAGAACCTTCCCTCTCAAAGTCTACATATTGGAAACCAAAAATTTTATGACCTCATTTTAACTCTAACGAAATCTTTGCTACACCATGATACATTTATTCATCCTTCATCACCCTCTGTTGTATAACTATGTCAATATCTATGATAACTTTGAATTCTAAATAATTTAGGTTGTAAGCAGCTAATGAGAACCTAACGAAATAAAATGAATTCATGTATTATTCTGCACCAATCTTTGTTATTGCTCTCTTTAAAATAATAAAGGGAACTATTTGTATGAAACGACAAATCAGTTGATGAGTTTGTGAATCTTCATCAACTCAGATGGTTAGGCTATGTGTTTCGATTATCACAACATGTAATGTTGACTAGTGTTGGAGACGGTTGGAAGAAAATTAGGAGCGGTCAAATCAAAACATGATATCAGTCCATACAGTCACTAACTTCTGGTCTCAGCTATGTTAGTAGATGTAGACTACTTGGTTGTGGTCTGCATGACTATCGTAACCAATGATTGGAGACTTTGGGTGACATGACTGAGAATCGATCACAATGTCGTCGGTGTATACATTCATTGTCTTTCATTAAGCAGTGAGATAAAAATTAGTTTACACCTCTGTTTCCACAAACTAATTCTTTCTTTCTGTATCATACTCTTATATTCAATCTTATATATATATAAGCTGGACACTTAAGAGCACACCGTTTAAAATATATGAAAATTCTATGATCTCCACAAAACCTTTACTGATAACAATCATATGCATACTAGTGACCAGTGGAATTGAACCATGTCTGGTACGAGAGTTACCTAATACATACAATGGATAAGCATTGTGCAATATTGTGAAGTGACTGAAGTTAGACATATAAACCGTTGGATGACAGCTCGATGATCTAGAGGTTAATCACTCGTCCGCGATATCGCGTCCTAGGTGCAAGGTCGTGGATCTTTACTGTTAAGAAGTTCCACACCAGGAGGAAATGTCGTTTCAGTGCTTCCAGATTTTCAGTGATGGTTTAACTAGGATCAGTTTGTAATTTAAAGTCTATGAAAATAATTTCATCAGTCAGTAGATAGATATTTGATTCCACTGGACAATTTTATTATACAATATCAATTCAAGTTGTGGTATGGCAACTTGTACGTACGAAGTTCTACGTTGTTACTGATTGACAATATCAATTTAATTTTGGTAATATTGTTTCTTAAATCATGCAAAACGTATCTAATTATATACTAATACAAATAAAATTAACCATAAATTCTAGATATTCAGATTGTTCGAAACTTCAGTATACACCAGTGCCGAAGGTCGAAACCGTAAAAATACTAAAGGTGAATCAAAGGAATCAAAATGTGGTTTCTGAGATTAGTAGTAGTAGTAATAATAATAAGAAGAAGAAGATATTTCACACTAGATTGTTTCAAATTTGGCAATGTGTACTTCTCTTAACACGGAGAATGAGACTTACATACACACATACACATACGAACCATATTAAAATCTATAATAAAGCAACATGTAGTGATCTATTTGTTAATTAGACTACTTGAGATAGACTTAATTGGTCCACTGATCCCATTTAATACATCTGCTCAATTATTAATATTGTCTTTGAAGGGATTCTCAAACCCAGTGACAGACACCATGTCAATAATGATGAGATCAAGTAATAAATGAATATGTAAACCGGTAATCATTATTTACTTGAAAGCATTGGTTTGAATATATATATATATATATATATATATATATATATATATATATATATATATATATATAATCTCAATAATCTCTTTTCTGATTCAGTGTATTGCAAGTGGAAAAAAGTCGACAAGTGTTATAACTTGTACCCTGTGTCCTATTAATGTATAATGTAGTGACACCGCCAATTAGAGAACAGTGGATTATCGACCGAACCAATGACATAAAATCCCTACGAGAAGTCTAAAGTCTTTACTGGTCCTACTTCCTGTCTAACCCTCTGATATGAATCATGTATTTCAAACATACTGGGTTTATATAGACCAACTAAACAGACCACATTGTATCATAAATTAGGAAACAACATTTGTACAAGATTTAGCCAAAAGTGGCTGTGAATATAGGAGATAGTAACTGATAGACAGGGCATAATTCAAGAATGGTAAATCGTATAATAATAGTTCATAGGTCAAAATAAAGCCCATAATAAGAGGAACAGAGGTATGAACAGTTTAATTACTTAACAACTATACAATAACAATATACGTATAGTATAGATCCATAAATGGATCCCAAAAGATTACAATTCATTATTATCATCCAGATATAACAATAAGAATAGAAAATTATAACATAATAATGATTGATAAACTACTTAATAAAAATTCGAAATAAGTAGTATGAAAAAAATTTACATCAATTTCACTTTCAATATCTTTCCCCCCCCCCCTATTAATCAACAGAATAGTATGTACATAGTTTAATGAGATAATTGGATTGATCTGAAAATTTATGATATACGCATTTCCAACAATCTGGTCATTTATATATTTATATTTACGATTAATCAATGTCATTCTGATCGGTTTACAGTAATGATATCTGAATGTCCTCAAATACAAATTATTCAATTAATTTGCGAATTGTAATTAACTAGGTTATATAAATGTCCTTTTGTTTATTTAAAAACAAACATTGCTACAAAGAGGCACTAAATAGATATGCGTTATATAAATCATTCGATTTGTGTGAGAACTGGAATACTGTCCAGAAACCCAAACGGAAGCAGGAGGTTTTCTTAGAGGGTCATTCATTGAGCGTTTGACCTAGAGGTCTAATCCACAACGCAATGGAGTAACGTAAGGAGATGCAGTCCTATGGTAGCCGGTGACTAACAACTGGTTCATACACCATTTGTTTCTTCAGGATACTGGAGATTATGTGCACTAGTGGTTGAGAATCAGGGTTTTCCATCTTACGTCAGTGGATCCTCCGTGTCCATCAACCTGATTAAATCACTGGACTTCCACTTTTCATCCCCTCAATTTCGTAAACAACACCCCCGCCGCGAAAAGTCAGTGAGTAAGACTTCCCTGTCAATGGTTGTATGCACGTGGCCATGTGAGAGTATTTCAAGAGGGAGAGCTGACTCTCCCTACTGTTGGCCGTACAAAATTTAGCAATCAATGTAGAGTAATAAACATCGCTTGATTGACCCTTAAAACAGTAGAACTATGTAAACAGAAACAATAAAACAAACTAGAATTTAGTAAATAAATAAATTTTCAACTAACCTCTGGTTTCATTCTATGTGTTTCTACAGCTGGTACATTCAATTTTACACGTTCAACTATACAACGATAAGCAGTAGGTGTTAATTTGAATACAGTATGTAATGGAACATGAATATAAGGTAGTTCATCTATATATAAAAAGAATGGATATATCTATCAACATAGACACTTATATGTAAAAGATACAAGAATATACACATATACACTCATAGAAAAGAATTAGATATAGACATAGAATGTAAAACCATTGTCAAAAGATGATGGAATTTATGAGAAAGTAAATAAGTGACAATAAATACTTTTTTCAACTCGAATACAATGAACAGATTTCAGTTTTTATTACAGTAATCAATATACATAAAGATGGAATAGTTATTTGATTATTTACGATAAACACAAAAGCGATATACCTACGTTGTAGCTGACTGACTGACTGATACCAAAGAACACACTGCGTCCGGAATTGAAGGTAGACATCAAAACAATAAATAATACATGAGAACAGCTGGAAGGGAGAATCCTGATCGGCTGCTTATACTCCACAAAAAGTAAGAGGAGTAAATATAAATGATAGACACAGTCAGATTGAGATTTGACTTATGGAATGGAAAGTTCGAGAACTAATCTATTCCATCAGTATTCACTTGCCCACACACAAAATCAACCATTGTACAGAACTGTAATTGGTTTCCCAGTTATCTTGAAAGTGATTTAATGGTTAAGACTATTGATTAGTGATAATCAAAGTCTAAACTATTATAAATGTGAATAATCAATGAGTAAAGAAAAATTGTATTTTTGACGTTTCGTGACTTAGTGTAAGCCGCTTGTTCTCTGAAGAAGACACGAAACGTTAGAAATATAATTCTTTTTTTACTTATTGGGATATAACAACAAATATATTCATTATTAACTTTCTACCCAATACTCAATTTATTTGAAACTATCATATATGTATGAGTTAGTCCAAGTTCCTTTAAAATTTCCTGACAATATGATGAAATCATCAAGATGAAATTAGTTCGTAAAAACAAAACGAAAAATCATATATAAAGGAATATTGTATATTGGGGATCTATGAGGAAGATAAAGAGTGAGTCCATCTGTGCTACTGTGATCAATTCCCAGCCATATTACTCAAGGTATATAGTCACTGATCGTAGCTATCAAACAAATCTCAGTCATCGATTGAGTTCATGAATCGATTGATGTTAGATCATCAATGAAAACCTGCAAGCACTGGATGGACGTTCCATACTATTATGAGGATTCGAACCCGATGTCTTCAGTCTCGCGCGCGAACACAAGAGGGCTCGTGGATGCGCACTTCTGCAGAGTCACATAAAAGGATGAAACGACCATCCAATGCTTCCAGATTTTCAATGGTGGTCTAACATCAATTGGTTCATGATCTCAATCGATAACTTAATCATCTCTACAACCCTATACTGATAAATCTCAGTCAAGCAAACACTACCGATTGAAAAAAGCTTAGTCGAATAGTCAATGAGTTCATTATTTGATTACTTCTAGTTTCCTTCAAACCGATCTTAAATTTTTTTAGAAATATTCATTCATTTATTCGATAAATAACTAACATAAAGAATGATTCACTTCTATTTCAACATTATTTGAAGTGATTAACATACATTAATTAAAATTATAGTTTATGGGACGACTTTAGAGTGAAGCCAATTTGATTTTGAGAAAATCGACCTACTTACTTACTAAAGTCAAAAGAGAGTGATAGATTAGTGATAGGAATTAGAAATAAGGGTTAAGAATTAGAGTTAGGGTTTTTCAAGCAAACTGAAATTAACTATCATGTCAAAATACTATTCAGCCATAAAGGATGAATGAACTTCACGCCATAACTCAAGATATTCTATTTTTATTTTCATTAATTTGTTCACAAATTATAGTCTTGTCTGTAATTGTCTTTGAACCGACAAATCTCTAATTTGTATACCTCCCACAGTAACTAAGTTAGTTTAGGCAGGTTGGTGATAATATAACCAGCTCAACTCGACTATTTGCTTATATTAAAAATATGATCATCCGTGATCATAGGCCCAAATTTTGGTTAATGCTCAGAAATTGAAAACTATGACAGAGAAATTGTACAGTGTTCTCTAATCTTTAATGAATGACTTCTCTCGCCCAACCGATAGTATCGATCGATAATGAATAAAACATCCTCATATAAACACATATTGAACACTATACTAACTCACCCTTGTTTTTATCTTCAAAATAGGCAAGTAAACAACGTGCTACAGCCTGATGACAAATAACCAAAACTGATGTTTGTCGTTCTAATTCCATAATTACCGGCTCTAAACGTGTCACCAAATCTTGATATGACTTTAATAAAAAAAAAATGCAAACAGACAACAATTAGGATGATAACAAAAATATGATAATATTCACTAGTAAAGATAATCAAAGCTTCATCCCAAAAGAAATCATTCAGTCCGGTGAATACAATACAAACACAACAGCATTTACAACAGATTTAATATAACCACCATTCTGCCTGAAGCTCTGCTGTAGTTTCTGTCAATTCCGAGCTCGGATAAAGTAGGACGATTGGGGATAAGGTTAGTAATCCTATCCCATGAAAAAGAACTTTGCTTAAAAGACGCTGACCACCATCAACAATAAGTAATTATATCAGTTTAAGAAATGAGTATGGTTACGAACAAATTTTATGTTTTAAATCACATTGAAACTGTTAAACACTATGAAACGACGTATTATTAGCTAGTTTCGATTTACAATAAGATAATTATTTAGTTTTATAGAATAGATAGATTGTAGCTAAAAATAGATGCAGACTACTTGGTTGTGGTCCGCGTAACTATCGTAACCAATGGTTGGAGACTCTGGGTGATATAGCTCAGAATCGATCGATCACAATGGCGTCGGTGTATAACACTCTCTGTCTTCCCTTAAACTAACAGATTAAAATCATTTCATATTTTTCTTTCTACCAACTAATTCTTTCTTCCTGTATTATATCCTTATTGCAATCTTTCTTTTATATATTACCACCATTGAAGTAACTACTTTTACGAATCCAGTGTTCAACTTGTTGTGTTATTGAGGTATGGCAACTTGGACCGATATATATATGTGCCCGGTCCTACGTTGTAGCTGACTGACTGACTGTCTGAGCTGCGCTTCTTTATACTTAGGGAGATGTCAGCTAGATGTTTGCATCTCAGCGTGACTGCTTACATCAGTAATGGAAATTCAATATCTTTCGTTGAAATGTCTTATTATCCACTGAGCTATTGAGTTCAAATAGTTACTGATTTGTTCAACGGGTATAATGTTTATATCATCATTAATAACTATCTGAATTATCCCAAACACTAGTATAAAGGTATATCCAGTTGGTCAGTCTCTAGTGAGAAAAAATGCCCATCCTGGAAACCAAAACTAATCTATTCTTAAAGAAAACTTATGACATAATGTATATATATATCAAGACAATCAATGTAGAATACAAAGATGTTCCAACAATAAAAACTGGTTAAAATTCAGATCTTTATTAGTAATGCTACAATTGTTCAGTGTTTCAACGAGGTTCATATTGAAACTCATCTTTATGGTAACGGCATAGAATCAATTGTCCGAGCCAATAATGATCAAAATAGGAATATTCTATGGGGAAGGCAATATTTTTTAAATAGAATACAGATATACGGAAGCAACAACTAACTTGGACGGTTAATAGTATTAAATATTGTAGGAATAAAGTTATTACCTTATGGAGGAGCGGTAAGATAATGAAAATTTAGACATTGAACAGATAAAATTGCCATAACATAATCTTGGCAAATGGAATTACTCATAGAATGATGATGATTAAAGTCAAAAGAAAGGTTAAGATTTATTTTAGTACCTTGGAGATTTTACAAATGACTTACGGAACTCAACTAATACAAATCTAATCAAATGTAAAGTATGCACCGTGATTTCAGGTATACTTGAATTTGTACGATACTTACTGTAGCATTATTCCAATGCTAAAATCGAAATATGTAGCACAGGATTCGAACTCATGACATAGAGGAATGAAAGTTGAAGTCAATACCAAGACGTCTTGACGAAGATTTAGAATTATAATGCCTTAAAATGTTCACAACATTATGACTCTTGAATTCCTTTCAAGTTATTCGAAGAATTTTTAATCTAACCGAGTATATATATGATAGTTTAATAAGATTATTTGTTTGCTACAACGATTGTTACTTCTTACCTGGAACTAAGTGTACTTATTAAGCTATCATTCTTCCAGTTATATTGCAACCAAATTATATCTCGTTAATCTCATTAATTTAAATAATATCTAACTAAGTCATTAGGTTATAAATCAATTAAGGTGCTTAACGACAGACCTATCACAGTAACTTTTGCTAATACTATTCTGTGCTCTCAGTTTCCGTTTTCTTTCCTCTAGTTGCAGATGAATATAATCACTTCGTAATAGAACTGCAAATGTTCCTAAATACACTATATATATATAACTGGATCCCAAACTAGAGCCTCACATAAATATGATCTTTGGGGAAAAATTTCGATAACTATTCTACAAACTTTTCTAATCAATGTGGAAGTTGTTTTTTTTTAATAATTTTATTCAATGATAACACAATATATTGAAACAAACAGACATCGGAAGGCTCAGTCAGTCAGTAACAACGTAGAACTTCTTACGTACGTACATCAGTTCGAGTTGTCAAACCACATTAGTACAGAGATGCAGTTGTCGATTCAAATCCCGTAGTGGTAGAGATAGTAAGAGTATAAGCAGTAATCGGAAACATTAGGGTTTGAAGATGTTATTCAAAGAGTATAATACAGTGAAACAAATTTGGAAAGAGAAAAAATAAAGGGACATGAAGAATTCAGAAGATTATAATTTGGGAGAACACAAAGAGTGAATGCACCTGCGCCATTGCAAACGATTTTGAGCCATGTCATTCAAAGTCTCTAACCATCGGGTTCTATCATCTCGCGGATCCCAACCAGATAGTCTACACCTATCAATATGGCTCAGTCCACTTGTCAGTGACTTCATGGATTTGTGCCATGTTTTCTTTCGGCCGCCCCTAGATTTCTTCCAACCTACTCCTATACCACTGAACATCGCACGTCGGGGCATTCGGTGGTTGGGTATACGTAACACGTGTCCCAGCCATCTCAACTGATGAAGTTTCAACACTTGATCAATTGATTTGCCATCCTTACCTAGTACCCGTTTCCTAACAACTGCGTTACTTACTCGGTGGTCCCAGGATATACGAGCAATGTTTCGAAGACACCTATGATCAAATACTAGTAACCTGCGAATATCCTCTACTCTTACTGGGTATGTTTTACTGCCACAAAGTAGGACGGAACGAACTGCTGCGCAGTAAACACGTCCTTTGGTTGATAGACGGATATCTCGCCTACGCCAAAAATGACGCAAGTTGGCAAAAGCTAATCGAGCCTTCTGTATCCGTGCCGAGATTTTGTGACACACCAGACCAAAAGGGCTGATGAGACTCTCAAGCAAGATAAGTGAAGCGGTCGACACGCTCAACTATTTCACTCCCTATCATTAGTTCGGGTGTCGATGCAACTCTATCCTGAAGTAACATTTTGCATTTCGAGGGGAAGAATCGCATCCCGCATCGGAAGGATATCACGTTGGCAATTTTTTTTTCATCCAGTCGAAGTGTCAGGAAACAGTCAATAATCTGAAAGCCAATGAGATGATATTCATAACATATAACCACAGAAAAAAAAAGCCAAGTTTAGCTTACTTATTACCACTAGACTTTGACATACATGATCTAACCTTGAGAGTATATTTACACAATGTTTTGATTTGATAATTTACAGTAGTCCTTTCGAAAACAACAATAAGTGAATACAAAATATTTTGGTTTATAATCTCAGCTTAGGCGAACTAGATTTTCTAAATATAAAACGGAATTACTCTTATCAACTTATTGTATAGCCTAATATTTGTGACTAAATTAATATATTACTAAGACTTTAAAAGATGATCCAGATTGAAAGAAGTCATTTTATTTTTCAATATACATAGATTGATCACACTTATCATGTTATTAAAGCCATTCTAGTCATATACCAGTCCGGATACATAAACTTATCAACTGTTTCCAATAGTTCACTATAAAGGATATGTGTGAAGATACAAGATGTTATTTGTCTCAGAACTGTAATTTTGGATACTGAAAATACAAACTACATGATGTATTTATATAAACAAAAATTTTCAACTGATTAAATACGATTCCGTAAGTCTACATGTCATTACATAGTAAGACAATATCATCTATATGTGACCTTAGACTAGAAATAGTTTCCCACTACTAGTTGATTCATTTGTATACGTTGTGGTAATTCTTTAGTAAAACAATTTAAATAGACAAATTATCATATGATATGACATATACCAATAACTGACTTGTTACTACTCAGTGATCAATAACAAGTAAATATTTCAACCCTACAGTAAGATTATTCATCATTAGAATAGCTCGATAATAGAATCTTAGACTATGAAACTAAGTGATGTGAGGTTAAGATTCACAAAGGAGGACCAAAGATCCTTAGAGATTCTAGGTATTTCTTGTTGAAATGTCAACAGGTTTAGGATTTCTCGTTATTTTCAATTCCCTAACATGGTCTACATCACTAGCGTACAAACCTAATGATATCTGTAGTTAGTAACCCTTGATAGGTTGTACTTCTATTCATCAATTTATTGGAGTGTATTACGATGAATCAAAACAATCTAAAACTATATACACAATTCAGTTAGGCAGATGTAGAAACACAAATCAACATTCCTAACTGTAAACCGTCTACAGGTCATCAATGCAAGACCCTCAAAACAAGAGACCTTGAAATTACACCATCATTTTATTCTATGATAACAAGCACAAAACCTAATATTTCTTACGGACTATACAACCGAAATATCAAGTCAATATGATTTGATAACTACTTTCTTACATCGACTAATACAAATTCAATGATAGCTGAAAGACCAGACAGATTGGGAGGAAAGCTATTCAATAAAATGATTGACTAGCTCTAATTGAGGATTTACAATAATCTATTATTTTCTGTAATTATAGTCTGAAAGGAGAATAAAACATTATTTCCGCCTATATACTATAATTGTATTCGCTAATAACATTAATGGCTTTTAGTAAATGACAGGAAAATATATAGAATGAATTATAAAACAATAAAGACAAATGATTTGAACATGAATACAGAGTTTGTGTTTAGTTTTACTCTGTTAACCATTTGATTATATAGAATGTATTTGATAAATACATTTGGTATGCATGTATGTATGTGTACCGAGAACCGACACATCCAAATCGATACATCAATTTCGACTGTGTAAATTTCCCTGGCTATTAATTTATTAAGAAGAGAGACACTAAGATCATTACTTCATAAGAAAACAAGTTGAAGGATCAAGACAACATAATGAGCATCTTACGATTTATTCATTTTCCTATAAATATTACTACAAACATATTAAGATGGAACTATTCACCTATACATAACAAATCTAATGAAATATTTTCGATAGGCGCCATAGATTTAAGTTAACGCAGCGGTACAACAAAAGAATTACAACGGATCTTGAAAAAAAAACATAATCAAGTTTTTTCTATAAAACAACTAACACTTCGAAATGCTTCAGTTTGAATTAAAGAAAAGACAATCATACACAATTGTATCTATTCATTAGGTTGCATCCATTGTAATGCATCTTAGATAGAAGAATATTCTCATCAGATCTCCATTTATACCAAGAAATATTTAAGCTACACAAAAGATCTGATAATTCTGTTGAACTGGAACATTTATCAAGTAAATCGGCAATAACAGTACATGCTACATTGAATAACCACCAAATCGATATTAAAAGTATTTAACTAGTTCAGAAACATTTTTCCAACTAAAAGGAAAGGAGAATAGCCGAAATGTTACATACAATGTTGTGTCTTCAATAGAAGGAAAAAAGGTCTGACTATTCATCTCCACATTTAACTCTATTCATTGGTATCAGAGGGGGTTTTAAGGTGATTGTAGTAATCTCAATATTTGAGATCGTAAGTCAATTGAAGCTAGACCACCATAGAAAACCTGGAAGCAATGGACGGCTGTTTAATTCTATTGTGAGATTACTCAGCAGTGCGTATCCACGACCCCGCCTTACAAGATTCGAACCCAGGACCTATTAGTATCGCGCGCGAGCGTTTAACCACTAAACCACTGAGCCGTCACATTCATTGTTCACGTAATCAACACAAATACTCAAGCTTTAATTCAATTCCTTTATACTACAAAATTACATCATATAAACAAATAAACATAGTTCTATTTCATATAGAATCACCTTGACCATAATAATTAGACATAGACATGTTCAAACGTATTATAATTTTGATTGTACTAGAAAAACTTTGTATTGTCTCCTTAATACCATACCATATAAACTTATGTTAATTTTAATTTGGTTATTTATCTATTCTGAAGAAGTGACTTACATTAGGTAGTAAAATATCGATAAGGCAATTTTTATTTATTTACTTCCATGTTAAACAGTATAACAAGCATTAAAGTAACCAGTGGGGATTGATATAGATGTAACATAACGATCAATCGGTTTAATCAATTAAAATCTATAGGACTATTAATTAATGCTCGCATATGCTGGGATCAACGAGTAAGTAATAGTGATATTAGACAACAGGGTATTAGGGAATGATGGTAAATCAGTTGATGAGGTTGTGAATCTTCATCGACTGAGATGGTTGGGTTACGTGTTACGCATGCCCGAACACCGATTACCACGACGCGCAATGCTGACTAGTGTTGGGGATGGTTGGAAGAAAGTAAGGGGCAGTCAAACCAAAACGTGACATCAGTCTACAAAGTCACTAACTTCTAGTCTTAGCCATGTTGGTAGATGCAGACTGCTTGGTTGTGGTCCGCGTAACTCTCATAACCAATGGTTGGAGATTGTGGGCGATATGGCTCAGAATCGATCGATCACAATGGCGTCGGTGTATAACACTCTATGTCTTCCTTTAAACTATGACATTAAAATCGCTTCATATCTTTCTTTCTATGAACTAATTCTTTCTTCCTGTATTATATCCCTATAAGCAATATTTCTTTTATATATTACCACCATTGAATTAATTACTTCTATGAATTCGGTGTTCATCTTGTTGTGTTAATAAGGTATGGCAACTTGGAACGATGTATATATGTGCCTAGTTCTACGTTGTAACAGACTGACTAATGCATCGAATTTGATGGGGAATACTGGTGGACGGCTTATGCTCTTCTATGAGGGGCAACAGGCGTAAGTAAGTAAGTATTTGGGCTTGATGCACACACAACAACTTGATCTAAGTAGTACTCACTCGATTAATGCTTTGAAGACACGGGTACAGTTTATCCACATATACATATACATATTTTACATATTATTAATTAACTTGACAAATTACAATAATTATTAATTAACAAAACTTCACTGGTAGCTCTTCTAGGGTTATTGCCGGTTTCAAGACCGGGTAAAGGAGGAATGTTGGGCGTGGGGGCCAGCAACCCCATCCCGTAAAAAACAAACGCCAACCAGGAAAAAAACTTTTTAAACCACAGTAATTAACACCTTGTAGTTTATTTGAATTAGTATTTTACAGAATTACCACAATTTATTACCTGCTAATTATTATCTGGAAATTGACTGGAATATATTAAGGATTTCTTACAGAAGTTAATTATTGTTCTAAGAGATATGAAATTATGAACCAATCAATATTAGACCACTACTGAAAATCTGGAAGCACTAGACGGCAGTTTCATCCTATTATTTCAATATGTTGATAAAGATTACAAAGGCAATTACATTTGACTGAGAAAGGTTGTATATATTAGACAAATTGAATTATTCAATAGTTAAGATTACACCAAGGTTGGCTAAGGTAAGAGAACCGGTTGAAGATATTTCCTTCATACAAATAGCTCTGGATTTTTTTAAACCGAATGGTTACTGTTCCACTGTTTGAAGGACTTTCAAATCTGACAGACTGAACCAAAAAAGAATTACTGACCCGACAAAAAAAGTTTCACAGGTTGAAATCATGAGTCAATTGAAGCTAGACCACCATGGAAAACCTGGAAGCATTGGACGGCCGTTTCGTCCTAGTACGGGACTCCTCAGCAATGCGCATCCACGATCCCGCACCCCGCGGGATTCGAGCCCAGGACCTATCAGTCTCGCACCAAGTGCTTAACCATCTAGAACACTGAGCCGATATTCATCTGACGGTGTTAATGTCTGACTTCAACTAATCCACGAAGTTGCGCCACCGTACACCATTGTCTACCGTGAGTTGATATCTCACAACAGACCTGGTTGAACTCCACTGGTAACGGCTTCTCACTAGAACTCCAGAAGTATCTCATAAAGTCAGTCACTAGTGAGCATGATTTCAACCTGTGAAATTTCTCCTCCATCTCCACAAAACCCATTCTGATTAAAAAAAGTTTGTGAAAGAAAAAGATAAAACAGAAAAAAAACGATTTGATACTTACTTCACCCATTGGATAACGATAATAATATTTATTGTTATCACGTCGTCCAAAATCGTCAGGATATTTTTTATGAATCTCTTCATAGGTCATACCATCACAAACTCCCTTATAAATTATGAATAGAATAACAATAACAATACGATAAGATTAAATACGGGATAAAACTAATGATAGAGAAAGAAAATAAATCACTACCTCTAGATTAGGTCTGAACAGAAAAATAAAATATCAGATTAGTTGAACATAAGTATTGTATTAATAATTTACTTTCAATGTAAAATGGTTTTTTTTTGTAGTCAACCTTGATCCTGAGCTTGAAAGATATTACATTAACAATACTCCCGCCACTAGGAAGGCAGTGGTTGTATGTACGTGGCCATGTGAGAGCATTTCGAGAGGGAGAATTGGTTTTTTCCACTCTCGGTTGTACCAGGGCATTTGGGGGCTGCAGTTAGAACTGAGGAAAAGACAACCATACACAATTGTATCTATTCATTAGGTTGCATCCATTGTAATGCATCTTAGATAGAAGAATATTCTCATCAGATCTCCACTTATACCAAGAAATATTTAAGCTACACAAAAGATCTGATAATTCTGTTGAACTGGAACATTTATCAAGTAAATCGGCAATAACAGTATATACTACATTGAATAACCATCAAATCGATATTAAAAGTATTTAACTAGTTCAGAAAGGTTTTTCCAACAATGAAGATAAGGGAATAGACGAATCGTTGCATATAATACTATGCCTTCAATAGAAAGAAAAAAGATCAGACTATTCATCCAACTTGAACTGTTTCTCCATATTTAACTCTATTCATTGTCCACACAATCTACAAAATTATTGCTAATTGAGTACTTCACTTCTAGACTGATTCATTGATACTTTAAGTCTGTATATGTATAACTATGATTCACTATGTTATGGTGTGAGGCAGTTCCTTATAGTTTTAGATAAATCCATAGGTGATTGCAATAACAATAATACTAGTGATAGAAGTTTGAATGTTATCTTGTCTTATTCGAACTTAACTGTACGAATCAATGGATCAATAGGTGAGAACTATATTTTAGTGGCCGCTTAAGATTAATCATGTTCGTCGGAAAGCATCATTGGTCAATGATGGGAATACTGGAATATAGACAAAACAGCTAAGCACAAGTATTGAATGAATGATTTACTTTCAATGTAAAATGCGTTTTTTTTTTAAGTCAACATTAATCCTGAAGCCAGAAAGATCTTAAATTATATAATTTTGGTTAGGTATTTTTGTTTTGACCTTATTCATTCTATGATGCTCTTTAATTCCTGATAATTCTTCTTAAAATAAAAGGAAGAAAACATTGTCCAATTAATAGTCAGACAGTCAGTCAGCTACAACGTAGGACCAGGCATAAATATGCATCGGTTCAGGTTGCCATACCTTATTAACACAACAAGATGAACACCGAATTCATAGAAGTAATTAATTCAATGGTGGTAATATATAAAAGAAATATTACTTATAAGGATATAATACAGGAAGAAAGAATTAGTTCATAGAAAGAAAGATATGAAGCGATTTTAATGTCATAGTTTAAAGGAAGACAGAGAGTGTTATACACCGACGCCATTGTGATCGATCGATTCTGACCATGTCACCAAGAGTCTCCAACCATTAGTTACGATAGTCATCCTGAAAATGCACACCTCGCCTTATCCCACGGATATCCATTTACAGCGGTAAGGTCTCAACAAGTACGGAGCTAACACAAAAATTATTCATAAAAATGTCGTGTGTGACCGACCTCAAGCAGTTGTCCCTTGGGCACTGCGGTCACGCTTTCACGTCTCTAAGACCACCTCTAATCCGATTTCTTTTCCACGTACCTCAAGAAGAACCCTTCTATGATGTGGGCAACCTGGAAGTGATTACCGCCCTCATACCTCTAACAGTATTCAAGACCAAAAAAAAGAAATGGAAACATATAATCGACTAAACTACAAACTATTTCTATTCACTTAAGTTAAATCAATATTTTGGATGTTGTTTTCTTTTTTGAAGAAATAATCATCTATTAATTTGATACAAACATAGTTAAATGTCCAATAATTAAAGAACATTTTGGAATTTTATTTTATATTACTTATGCCAACTAATGAAATAGTAACCTTAGAAATTATTTTATACATTATGAATAGATAAATTCCTTTTTAGTAATAATTACTAAAGATATAACTAGATGATTATTTAATTATATTCTGTTTTATTGTAAGCTACTATTTAACTTAATAACTATTGTCATACGTTATATCATTACAAAATTACTGTTAAATGAGTACTTCACTTTTAGATTGATTCATTGCTCTGACGTGTGATGATGTTTTATGGTGTAGGAGTAGGTTGGAAGAAATCTAGGGGTGGGGCCAAACCAAAACATGGCACAAGTCTATGAAGTCACTGACAAGTGGACTGAGTCATATTGATAGGTGTAGACTATCTGGTTGGGATCCGCGAGATGATAGGACCCGATGGTTAAAGACTTTGAATGACATGGCTCAAAATCGTTTGCAATGGCGCAGGTGCATTCACTCTTTGTGTTCTCCCAAATTATAATCTTCTGAATTCTTCATGTCCCTTTATTTTTTCTCTTTCCAAATTTGTTTCACTGTATTATACTCTTTGAATAACATCTTCAAACCCTAATGTTTCCGATTACTGCTTATACTCTTACTATCTCTACCACTACGTGATTTGAATCGACAACTGCATCTCTGTACTAATGTGGTTTGACAACTCGAACTGATGTACGTACGTAAGAAGTTCTACGTTGTTACTGACTGACACTAATACTTTAGGTCTATATATGTGTAACTATGATTTACTATAGTGTGATGCAGTTCGTTAGTTTTAGATAAATCCATAGGTGATTGCAATAATAATAGTGATGAGTTTGAATGATATCTTCCATTATTCGGAATTAACTGTACGAATCAATGGATCTATAGGAAAGAACTGCATGTTAGTGGCCGCTCAAGTTTAATTGTGTTCTTCGGAAAGCACCACTGGTCAATGCTTAGGATACTAGAATATAGACGGAAAAGTTTACGTAGGTTAGGAAAATTATCACCGGAATTCTGATTGATGAATTTAACAGGTGATGTCGATTAACGTCTAAAATATAACAATTTAGGCCGAAACTATCTGTAACGATTTTAGGGTTCAATAAGTATGCAGAATCCAGTACTTCCTGTAATTCTTTTATTTACCTAATGTGAGAGTAAAATCTTTATTAAAAATTTTATTTAAAGTCTAAACGTTCACCATATAAGTGTTTTTGATTCGATATGTTGAGCTAAGTTGTGGATAACTCCAGTTATTCGAGATGAAATCTTTTATGGAAATGACAACCCAATATGGATCAATGGCCAAATTAGTCGACAGATAAATGACTGAAAGGAATGGATACAACACACTTATTGAACGTTGAGAAAGTTGCTGATAACTTCAAGTTAGAATTTATTGAAGATAACATTTATCACAGGCTGATATTACCTGGAAAACTAATTCAAAAATCGAGAGACGATAAGATAGCTGTTTCGTTCTAATTTGAAACTCATCAGGAAAGTTCAATCATTGTCCCTCTAGAGGGTTAGCAATTGTGAGTTAACTTCCTCATAAACTCTTACTATGATCATAATTATACGTTCACTATCAGTGACTGATTTTGAAATATGGACTCCATTAGGAGTATTCTGGCGAGAAATTGTGAATTGAGTGATGTTAAGCCATAATGAAAGAATAAGAAAGATATGCTCGATAGCATGTTAACGATTATAACACAATACAATCAGGAAATTAAAATTACAACTGATCTACATAGAAACTATAACATGAAAAATAAAGTTATAGAGTTATATAGTTAGACTGTTGTGTAATTTAAAGTTTTGCGTCATGAACTGGCCTTAGCTAGACAATCCCTGAAAATCCGGAAATACTGGGTAGTTATTAAGATCTTAGCACTAGTTAGCAGTAACCAACAGCAACCTCGATAGGGATCAAACCCATGACTTTCAGGTCGCATAAGTTATTAGTATTCTATCAGAATTGCCTTTAAACCGTTACTCTTGTATTTTCGGACCGTCGATTTGGTAATTCTGAGGTTAGATATAATATTCGTTGAGGCAAATTAACTGAAGAGGTGAGAAATCTTTATCGACTGAGATGATTAGGGAGATGATGGGTAATGTAGTAGTAGATTGGAAGAAAGCTAGGAGCTACCAAAACAATTCACAGCATCAGTCTGTGAAGACAATGAATGTTGGGCTGAGTTATGTAGGTAAGAGGAGACTACCTATTTGAGGTCCGTATGATTATCTTAACCAATGGTTAGAGACCGTAAATGACAGCTCAAAGTAGTCCTTGATAGAGTAGGTGTTTCACTCTTGATCTTTCCTTAGGTCTTAAGTTTTTAAATTTTACATAACTTTTTACTATTATTTCACTAAACTATATTTTCTTCTCTCATTGTATCTTAGATGCCAAATCTCTCCTATTCTCATTAATTTTATTACTACCTTTAATAATCTAGGATTCGCTCTGACAATTTCATCTCGCTATGCTAATTGAATATGACAAATTGAACCAACTGACATCTAATCTGATTGATGATATGCAGTTGTAAACCCAACATGATTCATTATATTATATAAATTAGTGCATGAAACTTACTGCATCTAATTCATCCAATGCTTTCCAATAACATATTTGTGAACATTGAATATGTTCAGCAGTTTGAATAGTACGCTTAAAATGACTTGTCCAAACTTTAAGATTTTCTAATTTTTCTTGTTCCATAAATGCTGCAAGTTTTTTAGCATACTGAAAAAAAAGAAAACGGTAAATTTTTTTTTGCAAAATGAATAAGGAGAGAAGAAACAACTAACTGTGCTGAATAAAGTAACAACTACAAGATAGATCAGTTGAACATAAAGATTATTACTTGAATTAGTGTATTAATGATAAGATTATTCTTGAAATGATGATCAGAATGGGATTTTATGGAGGTTGTAGTCATTTTTAATGGTTGAATTCAATGATCTAGAGGTGAAGTGTTCTCACACAAGACCGAAGTTGCTGAGTTTGAGTCCCTTAGGTGCGGGATGGTGGATAGACACTACTAAGGAGTCCCATAATAGGACGAAATGGCCGTCTAGTACTTAAAGGTTTTTTGATGGTAGTCTAGCTTACATCAATTCATGAATTCAACTATTAAAAATATTCTAGAAATGATAGTGATAAATTGATTTACAATTAAACCATTCAGTTTAGATAGAACAAAAGAACAATAATAACTATTCATGCAAAACATTAAATACCCTACACATTTTACCATGGATGATATTGTTTGTGCTTTTAATATTTAACTCATGAAAGATGACTGAAGGATGTTTGTCTGTTTGTTTTTTTCATTGAAAATTATGATTACTTGTACATGAGATATGATACTGCTCAGAGATTTAAACTGAAGAAAGTGATCTTCTTAAGTGACCACTCTACAAGAATTTTATGAAAACATTTAATCTACATAGTAGTGAAAATATGAGAAAATGATAACTGTTGGTCAGATTAAATGCGTATACCATTCATTCTTTTCATACTCTAAAGCTTATTTTATTTTATTATTTTATTTGAACACATAAATATTGACCCTCAAATGCTCTGGTATGGCTGAGAGTGGGGTAGGCCCACCCTCCCTCTCGAAATACTCACACACGGCCACGCGAATACAGCCTCTGCCAAGGAAGTCCTACTCACTGCCTTCTCACACCAGGGGTGTTGTTTACGAAAATGATGACGAAAAGCGAATGTCCGGTGCTTTAACCGGATTCCAAACCAATAGTGCACATGGGCTCTAGTATCCTGCAGGAACAAATGGCGTACGAACCAATTTTCGGTCATCGGCTAACATGGAGCTGGATCTCCTCACGATGCTCCATTGCCTTGTGGGTTAGACCTTTAGATCAAAGGCTCGAGGTGTGGCCCCCTAAGAAAACCACCTGCTTCGGTCTGGGCACCCGGGCAGTATCACAGCCCTCACACAAATGTGATGAACTGCCGATAATTATGGAAAATACTAAAGCTTATTAATACTATTGGTTTAGAATTAAGGGTTTCTAGATCCTCGAAATAAACATTCTGTATCCATTAATCTGATTAAATTAAATAGTATCCACTTTTGTTCTTTTAGTAGAGTAGGGATTTCCTAGTAAACAAAAGATACAAAACATGTAAACACTTTGAATAAGGGAGTGAAATCTTTATAATCTTAGTTATGTCACGGTATTCAACTAATGTTAAGAAATATCTAACCCATTTAGGATATAGTTTAATGTTTTATAAAGGAAAAGAATTATGGTGAAATACACTTGCAATTTGATTGTAATCTATGATAGAGTAATGTTTAAACAAACTATCTCTTTAATTCACTTGGTATTGTTTTACATGAATCTTCCCATTGATGTTCAGGACTATAAGTGGCATATGTACATATTGCCTTAATTTACAAGCATTATAAGCCAAGATGGATAGTGGTTAGCAGTGGAATCCAGGACTATCTCTCTTTTATTCACAATTACCCATATCCAGTAACTACTATACAACTGATAAACACAAGAACATGAAAGGTCTACTTGAAGAAATATCAAATACATGTAAACAAATGGAAAATAATGATCAATTGAATGTGCCTAATTGTAATTGAAACTTACTAAGTAGTGAATCCTTTATAAGAATGTGAATTTACAATTAGGTTATCCACTTACAACGAACATATTTCTATTTAGTCATGATATTGATTAATTTAGTGAATTAATTAGCTAAATAACCCCGGTTATGATCTGATAAAAAATTCCCTTAACTAATCCAAAAATATTATTAAAACATTAAGTTTGAATAAAGTAAAAACAACGAGGTTGAAAGAATAGTATGAAGTTTCGTTCATCTAGCCGATCCACTTCAACTGCCCCCAAATGCCCTAGTACGGTCAAGAGTGAGGAGAGTTCGCTCTCCCTCTCGAAATGCTCTCACATGGCCACGCGTATATAGCCTTTACCAGGGAAGTCCTACTAACTACCTTCTCGCATCACTATTGTTGTTTACGAAATTGAGGGGACAAAAAGCGGATGTTCGACGCTTTAACCGGGTTGATGGATATAGAGGACTCACTTAGGAGAGTTGGAAAACCCTAATTTCAAGCCAACGGTACACATAGTCTCCAGGATTCTGATGGAACAAATGGTGTATGAAGTAGTCGTTGGTCACTGGTTAGCATGAGACTGCATCCCTTTACTATGCTCCACTGCATTGTAGATTAGACCTTCAGGTCGAAGGCTCCGGATGTGGTCCCCTAAGAAAAGCACTTGCTTCGGTCTGGACACCCGGTAGTATCACAGCCCTCACACAAACCAAATGAGATCTGTGTGGCGTATATGTATCTGGCAGTGAGTAGGACTTCCCTGGCAGAGGCTGTATACGCGTGGCCGTGTGAGAGCATTTCGAGAGGGAGGGTGGGCCCACCCCACTCTCGGCCATACCAGGGCATTTGGGGGCTCACCTAAAATTGTGTCTACCAGTCTACATATATGTGACGAAACACCTACAATACTGGTGAAATAGAGAAGAAACTTCCTGTACACATCAAGGAGAGCATAACCCAGTAATGATGACTAAAAGGTCGACATGTTTTTTAACAGTTTAATTGTCCGTTATCTGATTGATAGTGAACAACACAATGTTGATATTTTAAAATCTTTTCTAAGTAAAAAATATACAAATCACTTCAAATTTGTGATATATTGCCAAAAACAATATTCTTAATAGACTGAAATTAAAATTATGCATGGATACAATATGGTATGTAAGAAACTTACTAGTTCACCCCTTTCAGAAAGCTTCCCATCTCCACCGATTCGACCATGAATATTGAGATCTGTTTCACCGTGCTAGAAGTCAAGTCAAGAAAAACACAACAAAGAATTCACAGTTTCAATGACTTATGTTATGTTATGTTTGAATAATAATTTAATATAACAAAGAGATGTAGGGGCAACAGTAATAGTAATCCATTAATTAAGAAGCCAGACAGTATGAGAGTAATAGATTATATGGTGGTTGGAGGTAGTCGACAGGAAACCTTGTGGTCACCATTCTATGTGGTTTAATATTACAGAGTTTCCTGTCGACTACCTCCAACCACCATATAATCTCAATATATAGTGCCCGCAGTGTTGAGTCACCTAGACAGGTGGCCGCATTACAACATGATCGATAGCATTCAATCTGCACTAATAAGGACTAGACACGCATGACATTGATCGCCACCCAGTGATCAAGCAATTGTGAGTAATAGATTATCCCATATAAGACTCTTGGACTATTATTCAACCCTTTTCCTTTGTTGGTTGTTATCAGATAAAATGAGACTGTAAGATTTTTTTTAAAGTAAGAATGCACACCTTCTAATGTAAGTAATCTCAAACTACTTATATTCAAAATAGATGGTGATGATTTTATCTAAAATGATAATTAAACTATTCAATTTAAAAAACAAAATATTATCATTTCCAAGGTATCCACAAGTAATCTAAGCTTATTTAAATGATGATAGTATTCGACATATAAATAGACTCATTATATTCGAAACGAATACAGTTGGCATTACATATTGTTGGGTGTAACAAGAAGGATAGCTCCGCCTGGAGTCCCTCCGGGGGCTACTGCCGGTCCCAAGCCCGGATAAAGGAGGAGGGTTGGGCATGGGGTTGGCGTCCCCATCCCGTAGAAAACTAACTTGCTAAGAAACGCTAACCAGAAAAAAAACAAGAAGGATATCACTAAGTAAGAGATAGTATAAAATTGATATTAACTATCCTTGAAATATTCAATTGTAATCTAACCAATACATTTTTATTACTATGGGAAGTTTGTGATAATTACAATTCCATAGTTTACATCAAAGATTGATACTAGTTAGATAACCATTAAAAATTATGGAGCATCATACACTTGTTTCATACTAGTATGAGAATATTAATCCATATTCATCCATGACTTTACCAGAGGTCAAACTCAGGATCTTCAAGTCGTGTGACTGGTGCTTAACTTTCATGTCAGTGAGTAGCTAACCAATGGTTCACATTGGTTAAATTCAAATCTATTGGAGATATAAAACAAACATATCTCGATGTTAATGGGTAACTGCCTCATATCCAAATTAGCTGAACTGCATCGGTCACAGTTTCTCACCACAACATCGGAAGTGACTAATTTCAAAAAGTAATTTAAGATCCTATGATCGATTCATAGTGGATTCGTGGATATGCACTGCTGAAGGGTCCCACAACTGTCTAGTGCATCCTGATTTCAATGATGATATAATTATGGTCAGTTTGTGATATGAATTATAAAACATTTTATACAAATGAGAACTAAACAAAACTCCTATTAAATTAACTTGAATTGATTATTTGTAGCATTAATAAATAATTTTGAAAACTGAATAAAAATCTAATGATAACTAACGTAATGCTATGCAACTCTTAGTGTTGATCAAGCTCTATTGACTAAGTTACACTGTGGTCACCATTCTATGTGGTTCAACATTAAAATGGAATTAATTGAGTTAATTTTTTTCCCCAAGGTAATCGAGAAACTGCAGGCAAGTTAACTTATTCACAATCTTTAAAAGAATTGATAAGAGACCCACACTGTAAAAAAAAATGGTAACATTTCCAACTATGATATTGCTTCCCATAGTGAGCGGGATCCCCACCTCGAGATTGGAAATAATTCTTTCTGATAAATACCAACTAACACAAAACCTAGAGGTTATTGATTTATTGCTACCTGTCACCAAACAACACAACATAAAGGAATGTCATTAGACAGAATGTATAGTTCAATTTGTTCCTATTTTATCAGTGAATATAATGGATCAGACAGAGTTCAATAAGCTTATTGTCACTAATTACTCTTAATTAACATTGTTGAACTGTCCACATATAAGCAATGAGTCGATAGAAGTCGTGATGCATCTGACGTGTGTATTCGCTTTCTATGAAACTATTTCAAAAGTAAGTTTTGCAAGGAAGATATATTGATCACAACCAAATAATATTGATTCAGATAGGTGTATAAATAGCATAGCAATTAGCGTATTGAAAGAGTAATTGGCAAATAAGAGGAAATATTTTTTTAACCCAGTAAAAATAATGGTTCTAGTAGAATGTTTTAATGCAAAAACAAGAAAGCAGGAATGAAAATGTACACAATAAAAGTGACAAAATAACGATTTAACACTTCCCAACACAATCAGACTGATCTTTTTACTATCAAAGTGTACACGAACAAGAATGAAGCAACAAAAAAAACTAGAATTTTTCAATTCAAAGCAACTTAAGTTACCTAAATATTCAGTTTGTTGACCGATTTGACATAGTGTGCGTACGTTGAAGGCTCCGATGTGTAGTTTAGAGCGAGGTTTCAGTAGACCTGAGACAGTGTTTCGCGCACTAGAATCGTTGACTATGGTGACACTTCAGGAAGAAGCCGAAAGAGGAAGTTTAGAGTTGAAAGTCGATGTAGGAGGAATAGTAGGAATTGAAGAGGGAGGTTGATTATGAATACAGTGGTCTTAAGTGCTGTTAGAGATATAAGGGCGGTTATCACTTCCCGGTTGCCGACACCATAGAAGGGTTCTTCTGGAGGTGCCTGAAAAGGAAATTGGATTAGAGGGTGGTCTTAGTTGACCTGAGATCGTGACCGCAGTGCCCAAGGGACAACTGCTTGAGGCCAGTCACACATGACTTTTTTGTGAGTAATTTTCGTGTTAGCTCCGTAATTGTTGAGACCTTACCGCTGTATATGGATATCAGTGGGATAAGGCGAGGTGTGCATTTTTAGGGTCGATCTTTTCTAACCCCTCCCCTCCTTGTGGGATGGCAGTATCGCTGCAGATGCTGGTTGTCTGAAGGAAACACCTTACTGCTGTCACACCTCTGTACAGTCAGCAGTACGACTTCGCCCTCGGACTTAAGGTTTGTTGCTTTTAGTCTTACCGCTCTTCAACCGACCTTTCTGACATGGTAGGACATTGAGGGACGATTGTTCCAGTCAGCATAGCTCGGTTGCTTCATCACGATAGGCAAGCCCGACCACCACGTCAAGGTAGCAACAACGGTCGGGAAAATATTCACAAAATACAATTGGTTGATCACTAATGACCAAATGTTCGGTTTATCTAGTCCTTTAGTGCTGATTAAATTCTATGGGTCAAGTTGCAATGTGTAAACTAATTTGACTGACTGGAAAAAATGTGAACTATATTGAGATGTTAGATGTTTGTAGGCAGTCTGCAGGAAACACTACCCGATCTAGATTTCGTGTCAGCTAGCAATTTTCAGCAAGGTATACCCATAGTATTTAAGTAATTGATCTTCTTCACTGGAATTAAATCTGCATCACCTAGCTTTACAGTTTGAGAAGTTACTACTGATCTGCTAGGTTGCAATTGACCTACTGTAGAACTGAAAAATTTACAACCGAATAATAGCTGATACTTTAATGCTGATCAAATCCTATCGACCATTAATAAGGACTAAATAGACATGACATTTGGTCGTTATTTATTACGATCAATTAATTGTGGAAAGTCCATTATCAGTCGGAATTACAACCAATCATTTATCACTAAAAGAAAATCATTTGGTAGCCAGAATAACATAACTATACCATTGTATTAAATGATACGCGTTCAAACAGCGCTGAATACAAAAGTATGGGATAGATTTTTCAAGATTTTTAGACGAGAGGATTACAAACAACCATCAAACTCTAAATTCAAAACATTCTATAAATTGAGCAACAAACCGAAGGTCCGATGGTGAGGTCCTACTGCTGACTGCACAGAGGTGTGACGGCAGTAAGATGTCTCCTTCAGACAACCAGCATGACAGCGATGCTGCCTTCGTATAAGGAGGGATGGAGTTAGAAAAGGTCGACCCTAAAAATGCACACCTCGCCTTATCCCACTGATATCCATATACAGCGGTAAGGTCTCAACAATTACGGAGCTAACACGAAAATTACTCACAAAAAAGTCATGTGTGACTGGCCTCAAGCAGTTGTCCCTTGGGCACTGCGGTCACGATCTCAGGTCAACTAAGACCACCCTCTAATCCAATTTCCTTTTCAGGCACCTCCAGAAGAACCCTTCTATGGTGTCGGCAACCGGGAAGTGAAAACCGCTCTTATACCTCCAACAGCAATCAAGACTGAAGAAACTTAGAAGATTAAAACCTTTAATGATAAATATGATCTTAAGATGAGTAGAATAGATTAATACAATGGAAATGAATAAACAAAGAATTTAAATTTTCAATATTGTAAACAATAATGATAATATTAGATTGGAATAACATAATCTCTGATGAAATGAAATGAAACAACAACAAAAAGATAGCTATTCTCATGAATGCTAGTTTCTAACCAACTTAATATTGATTAACATTCAATTCATTTTATATTGCATGCAATTAGTTCCCTTTATGACTTGAAATAAAGCCAGAACAAATATAGAGGTAGAATATTATGGATTCACTATTGTTGTCGTGGTTTCTCATCATCAGCTGCTTACAATCAAATTTGTATTAGAATTTTACATAGAGATAACATATAGGTATGGAACAATTGACATAAGTGTATGTAAAGAATTGTAATGACAAAGGTTATCAATGATAACTATATATATGCAAGAACAGGTCAGAGGCTATTTAGTGTTAGAATCAAGGAAACAATTAAGGATGGGTGCTGTAATAGTTGATTGGAGTTCAGAGATAGATAAGATAAATTATGTGATAATTTTAGAAGGTAATGCAGGACTCATGGTACTAACAACTGATAAACTGGATTACGTAATCAGTCAGTCAGTCAGTAACAACATAGA